CGGTGACCGCTATACAATTTAAATCAGTTTGCATTGTTTACTATAGCTGTTTACAGTGTTCTAATCATTACGATTTACTTATTTTTTGCTTCCATTCTAGATAATTATGCTCAGCACAGTCCCTAGAGGGACTGTGTGCTCAGTGATGTAAAATTGAAGCGATGACTGAATGAACGAACCTTGGCTGGCGAAGATGTATCTGGAAGTGTACACATTTGTTGGAAGTGAAAAAAATATTCAATGAAATGACAAAAATTGTAAAATGCTGTGGAATTTCTTTTGCAAATAAAAATATACTAGCAATTTTCTATTAATGGTTTATTCAAGTGGGCAAAATATAAATGTACAGAAAAATTGCCCGTATACACTGAAAAGTAAGCAACCGACAGCCTGTATAAAAGGGGGACTGTGATTGGCTGTTACTTACGCGAGATTTGAACGGGACTTACATAGGCGTCGGATCAGATGTAGGTAGGGCGGAATTAAAAAAAATCAAAATCAAAGTAAAATAATAAAATAAAAGGGCATTAATAACAAAAGTAAAAAAAAAAAAATTAAAAAAGTTTATAGCCAAAATAATTAAAGCCCGTACACTACATCAGATTTTAATCAGATTGCAGGGAGGGGTGCCAGAATAAAACAAATGGTTGTGTTTGGGACAAAAATTTCATCCCGTTTTTTTTACCCAAGTCGCGGAAAACGGATACTATGTTCAACTCCGCTGCCGCCATCAATAACAGAGTCTGCTCTGACAACTCGTAACATATCCGACATACATCGCATATATACTGTAAAATACTTTATTTTCGCTTGCAACTAATTTTCGCTATTTTTGCTGAAGGAATGATTCAGTGAAAATAAAATCCACCGAATATAGCTTTTTTCTTATATTTTACAATCGACACGTCAAAAATCAGTGAAAATAAATTCCATACAAAACACCCAAAAAGTCTTTTCAGCGAAAATTAATTCCAGCTAAAATAAAGTATATTACAGTAAACTGTTTTCATTTAGTGAACTAACTTTTAACTAAAACCGACTTGTGTTGACTTCTCCTATACCCTGCCGTAAAGCATGTCGATTTCATGATACAAAAAATGCTCTGTATTGTGGTTATCAGTCAATAAGGTGTGTGGAGTTAACGTTGGATACTTCGTGTTATTTACGGTTCCATGGTCGATCTGTATAACAGACATAAAAGCCTGGGGACTATTTCGGCAGCTTAGTCAAATAATTAGTGAAAATAATCACATTTTGTTTCTATTCAGTATATTTTATGCAGTATATACTGCAATTCAAAATAAAGAAATAGTATTTGATTAACTCAGTAATATATATTATTTGTATTTCATTACAGTGGAATTTAGTTTACGAAAGAAAAATATAGCCTCCCCGACGGGGAATTGAACCCCGGTCTTCCGCGTGACAGGCGGAGATACTCACCACTATACTATCGAGGAATTGACAGAATCGCTAACTTAGAATATGCTACTTAATGTCAACGTTCTAATCAAAGGGAACTGTGACATATTTTTTTTCTAATCGAGATAAGCGTATTAATTGAAATATATTTTCTAGGTCATTGGTGTTTACAGTGACGAGTTGACTTTGATGAACGACCGCGGTGAGCTCCACCATGTGTCGCTCCCTTCAGACGACGCCCTCAAACAACGTATCCAAGAGAAGTACGATAATGAAGAAGATTTTTTGGTAAAAAACACAAACTCATCTTTAATTTCATTTTTGTTATTGTGTAGTTTTATCAACACCCGCCCACATGCAGACGTTTTTACGTGTTAACAGACTGGTGTAACAGCCAGGAACGTCCGCCATACCGAAATCGAAAACAGTGACCCCTGTAAACCACCCATGTACCCACTGTGTCGTCATATACTAATAACTGTTTGTTATTCCTATTTTTAAAATTTTTACTTAATTTTTTTTATTTCAGGTGACTTTACTGATGGCGATGGATGACGTAATGGTGGTTGCAGTCAAGGATATTAATCCATACAAATAATACTTTACACGCGACGACACTAGAGAAGATTTCAAATTACCCATAATTCTTTGTGCTTTGACGGACAAGCATTTAAAATACATTAACAATACATACGTGTGAATGGTTTGCATGCCGTACTCGTGCTGGTTTGGATTCCCCCTCTCTTTCCATCAGACATCTGACAACAGACGTTTAACCTTTATATAATCGACTATAATAACCCTATTGTTTGTGTTTGGCCAATAAAACTACCTAAAATGAACACTTCGCATTCCTATGTTTCCACTATAACAAGAATAATGATTCTACAATTACTCCTGTAATGGTGTGTTATCTGCGTTCATAACCCGGCGTAATTGTCACCATGAAACTAAAACACTGTCAATCCAAATCGCGAGAATTATGGGTAATCATTATGAATGATTTTTTATCATCGTAATCTCATAAGCGTTATAGTACCATAGTATGTAGATGCATGGAAGGTAGTACCTTCCGTGGTAGATGTAAACTTGTAAAAGCAGAAATTCTATTCTTATAAATCTAGCAGCGTAAACGGTTACCTAGACCACTATCAGACTAATATTAGTCTGAGCCTGGACTACCAGACTCGTTCAATTTCCCAATATCCATTCTCTAAATGCGAATGTGTATGAAGAAGAACGAGTCTGGTATCTAGGCTACGGGGAAAAACCTACAGACATGTTCGAAAGTGTTACGGACTTTCTTCCTTATTTGGAAAATGTGTGTCGTCATTCGTTTACATTAGACTCAACAGGGACTCCGCAATTGAACACGCAACGCATTACGATGACGGAGAAAGATTCGCGCCTGACACCGTGCCAGTAGGAATCTTACATATTCTGGGCTGTTATCTCTCATCAAATTATGAATACAAATAAAAAAGAAAAGATCTACTCTTGGCGCAACGAAGGCATTCCTTCAGTTTTATAAATATTTATAAATTTCAATGGCAGTTGAATCAAGCCATCAATTCAACGACTCGGAAGACAGTGCGCAACGACATATTTCCGAATTCATTCGTTTTAGTTTGAATTATGAAATTTATAAATATTTCTAAAGATAAAAAGAATGCCATTTCTGTGCTGAGAGTATGATAATAAGGTTATCAAGAGAATACTCATAATATCGACATGTTATTGCGTGAACGTGTGACAAATAGATTGACACTACTACAGTTGCTGCATTCAAGTTACACCTAGATAAAGCGATACAAAGCATTGCGTGCGATGGTTTGACACTAATTTGATCGCTATCATCTCGACTATTGACCGTTTCTGTCGGCTACATCAAATACATATAATCGGTAACGGCATTTCAATTGTTGTAGATTATAAGAATAAATACCCGCATACAAAAAAATAATATGCTGTCACGTGATTGCCTTCGACATTTTTCACAGATATGATTTACATACACATGTCAAATATTACATTCAAAAATTATGATCGTGACGCTCTCCCCGAGCCCCATTTATTATCCCCATAAGAATGAGAGTGTAAGAGTGTGACGACACATCCGGGATATACAAGTATGTATTGTACGATGGTTTGTAGGTCCATGATCCTGCGAGAAGTCTGCAAGGCCCTTCAGTTGATTATTGAAAAAAAAGGTTTTTAACACATGCCTTCAAATCTTTCAGCGAATTCCGAGACGAAAACATGACGGTGGGCCAGGGCTTATTATTTATTTTACGATTTTGCAACAGACCCACTCCCTAAGCCCGCCCATTTGTGGCGCAATTGTGTTACATGATTATGCAAATACAAATGTACAGTAAAATGCAGAAAACTGTGTACCTTAGTATATCAATATATTCATACACATTTGTAAATACGACTCATCAGCTTTCATTTGCACTTGCTGATCGTATGATGTTGAACTGATTCATTTCATTGATCAATTTGAATTCTAATATCTGTTTTGATTCCGCCTTTCTGATTTTCACTGTACTACCGAAATATCAAACAGTACTAGCTCCTTCCCTTCAAGTTCAACGCCAGTTGAATCTAGATGATCCGAACGAGCACAGCGAACACATTTGAAAACGTTCCAAATGTTCAATTCAAGTTGTCCAACAGAAGTATCTCGTTTCGGTTTGACTTGTGAAAATTTTAAATATTTATAAATATGAACGGAAATAAATTTCTTGTGCCGATAGTACATGTTGTTCTGATCGCAATTAGTGTCCTGAGCTCTCCGTGTATCTGGAAACAACGAGTCATATTCCTATGTAATCAAGTAGTTGGCGGCAAGATTTAGAATTGGAGATAAATTATAAATGGCTGATTTCAATCCACGATCTAGAACAGAGGTCAATAACCATTACTCTGTTACTCTTGCCGCCATGTTTATCAGTCATGAATATTATTGAAGAGGTTATGCTTTTGTTTAAGAAAGAGAAAAACATGCATTGTTTCACCTACCTTAATTACTTGAATGCATTGAGAATAAGACATTCAAGGACAAGTTTTCTCCCGCCACACAATCTATGCGATCTGATTGACTGCTATCCAGGTTTACCTGGGAAATCTATCAGGCAATACACCAAACCAAAAACTATTGCCCACAGTTCCTGAGTGTGATAAATAGATCAGCCATTTCCGGTCAATTAACAACCCGAATATACAGAAAAACCGCCGACGAGATGAAATCAAAAACCTTATGCTTATGACTGTGAAAACCAATCCAATTATAATAACATTACTAATAAAGATAAAGATCTATCTACCAAAAAATAAAAGTACTCTGAAGAAGAAAAAAACTGGGAAACATTATGCATGTCCCTATTAAAACATGTACTCACAAATTAACTTTCGTGTAAAACTGACACTATCTAACGTTTCATTCATTAAGGTAGCAAGAAGGGAAACAAATATTTTTTTCTTAGAATGCTACTCAAATAGGTGTTTAAAACATTAAACAAACGAGCAGTACTATGTTTTGTATAACGTTTGCCTTTGCTGATGTTTGATTGGAATATATAACTAGTTTGCATCATCGGAATTGAGTTCTCCAAACTAATTTGGGCCGTGGATGGAGAGACTGGGCGCAAACGAACTGTTCAATCTGTTTGTTTTGAATTGTTGAACCAGGAGCTCCCTGGTTGAACGGAAACCCTGTGACAGTGGCGAGACTTGACACTAGAACAAGACAAATATTGTTTAGGACTTAAAATACTAGTGATGATCGCAAGACTTTCTCTTTCGACCACTACAATATAATGTTGTTGTAAACTAACACTTTAAAATACGCCCACTGTGGTGCTGTTCTCTCAGACTCTATTTCTGTGCAGTATCTCCTAACCGGTCTGCGATCTTTTCGTGTTGAATTCGTCTTCCGTCTATATAACGATCGATTTTATTCTCTCGGCAGTAAAATTGGTTACGATTCTCTCACACTCACAACCATCGTCGCTGCGATAAATCATTATTTTGAACAGATTTTGAGAATGCCCAACAAAATTCACGAATCTGATTTAGATATTTAGTCAACATTAGTGGCTATTGTGTAATCTGTCGCTTGTTCATACCGTGGTTAGACGGACCTAACTGTGGTTAGGCTGGACTAACTTGAGGATTAAAATTAGGGCCTGTCCTGGCATCTCTTCCCAAACTTGACTTATTGAGGCCGGGTTAAAAAATTAAAGGGCAGTGATCGTCGTGCTGCGCATGTGCGACATTTGTGTTGATAAACATTGATTTTCCCACAATCCAAATACATGTAATAGGATGTATGATCTTTGTTTATGAGACCCATATATCACGCACATGCGTGGCGCGACGACTACCGCCCTTTAAGCAAATCTAAAATTTGGGTAAGCCTAAGACTTATGTTTACGTTGTGCCCCACAGTGCACGTTACATGTACAATTCATGAACCAACCCCGTGGTAGCGTCAGAAGCTCTGTCAGGTGGCTACTTTTATTATCGTCTGCTGGTCCATGCGCCGTTTTCCTCTGACAGTCTCTTGTCTATCTGCATTATGTTATTAAAGTGTGTTTATCTTGCCCAGCCCCAACAAAGAAGAAATGAGGGTCCATTCATTATATACAGCGGGCGGGTCAAGGTCCAATTTGTTCTCAAAGGGGTACTACACGCCGTGGTGACACGTTAGAAGTGGATTAAGGCCAGCTGTTCCACCGACCCTTTCACCCAGAGTACCCCTCTGGGGCATTGAGCAGCTGGGAGCCTTTGTTACAAGTTTATTGAACACCGTATCAATTAAAAATGATCCGGGCAACAGCAGCCATATTGAAATTAGCTCAGACACGTGACATTTCAACTTGTATATTCTCGTGTGTATACTAATATTAGATTCCACTGTGTAAATTGAAATTCGTGAACAATACGTGACTATTTATCACCACACAGTTTGTATAGGACATTTGAACGGTATAGGGTTCAGCTCATTCCTCGATAGTATAGTGGTGAGTATCTCCGCCTGTCACGCGGAAGACCGGGGTTCAATTCCCCGTCGGGGAGGCTTATTTTTTTGGTCGACCTGCACATTTTTTCCCCGGTAATTAAAACATTATGACGGCAATTTTAGATCGTTTTCTGTTATTTTTTTTTTATTTTTTCCTAGCGTCGCGCCACTATGCGATACAGTAAGTGGATAGCTTCTTCAATTTAACTCCATGCTTCGCCCCACGCACATAAACTCACCTCAGACTGACGAGGCGCTATTCCACACAACAGAAGCCCAAGTTCACGTTTTACTCGCGTGTTCCTACGACAATAATACTCGTACCATGAGTATGCCAGCGTTATTATGCGACGACCACCAACATCTTTTAATGGGTTACCCATTACAGACAAGGGGTCACGTTGGGAAATGAAGAATTTTGAAAAGCCGCAGACAAAATAAAAAAGAATCACACGAAAAATTAACTAAATAAATGTATATATATATATATATCTGGGAACCACATGAAGCCAAGCCGGCGACCCGATAACACTCGACCCCGAGTTAGAGTTGTCAGTTCCACTTTGAGTACG